AACAGGCAGATCGACGAAGTACACTGCTGGGGGGAGCAGCGGTCGGGTCAGGAGAGGTCTGCCTCGCCATGTGGATCTCCTCCGGGGCAGGCGGGACTCGAACTCATGCGGAAGTGGCTTTAGCTTCTTAGTGCTGTGCTTTAACCGGCTGCGCCACAAGGGAGGGCCCTGAAGTTAATCTTTTAACAGTTGTAACCCAGTCAGATTTAGTCACAGGAAAAAAAAAAAAAAAAGATGACCTGCAGATATATTGAGGCAGGAAATGGCCTGAACTACACTGAAAACCAGGTCATGTGCTCAGGCTAATAGTCTTTGCAATGGTTCCTGTTGAACTCAGGTCTTTTTTGGACACAAAAACTTCCTTTTTAGGTTTAACAAGAAAAGTTGTTGAGTTCAGGTTGTAGAGACTGCTCGATCATGGCAGTGGTGGAACATATGACTTCAAATGAATAAGCATGCTTCTGGATGTCTTTGAGTAGTTCTTTACAGCTATTAATGTTTAACATAAACCAATTTAAGGTAAATCAAAAGCAGAGCAGGGTATAGTCTTCTACAGCTGGTGGTTTTGAAACCACCTTTTCTGCCAGTTAAATGACTGCCAGATAGTGTATGTATTCTTTAAAAGTTCTTGGCAGCATGCATTATGGATGCTCTAAATGTATATAATTATTAACCATATCCGATGTCAAATTTTTCTCTGGGGATGGGAAAATAAATTGACTATGTTTGCTCAAAAAATTTTTGGTAACAATATCTACTTATATTACACTTCATAAAGTTTTACAAGAAAGTTTTCATCTGGTATTGGTTAGTGTGCATCATAGACAGAGTGAAGAAACAGATGGATCAGTATACAAAGAATACAGAAGTCTTGATTTTATATCAAGTTCTGTCACTGACTCGTTGCATGATTTAGGTAACCTGATTCACTTCTATAATAAGGGTGAAGAACTTGGAACAAATGGTTTCTAATTCCTCCTTAATAATACAATATTTGATGCTAGGTTCTTACATACACGAGAAGAGTTATATATTGTGAATTTGGCTATAGTAGGGAACTCTTAACTAGATGTTCTTTTCTGTATATATAGTCTTAGATTTCAATGAAGCAATTAACCCTTGTCAGAGGCCATTATATTTATTTCAGAATAATACTATTGTAATTTTTAGGCTACAGACAATTGTTTATAAGCAGAAATAGCAACACAAGGTTACTGTGGACTAACCTCCCTTGGGACCAGATTCTGGGCAACCAGAAAAATCTACCCTATCACATTGGCATTTTATTTTTTTTCTTGTGCATTTTTTAGACTTTCTTTATACACACACACACACACACACACACACACACATATTTAAGCTCTTTATTTTTATATATTTTACATCAGGTGAAGTCCCCATACATTTCCCACCACCACTTCACCCAACACCATCACCTTAGTCCCATGTGCTCTTACCACCTTCATTTTTATTACTCTCCCTCCTCCCTCCCCTGAAAAATATCTCTGATTTCTAGTTGTCTGATTATTTTTGTTGTATTGTTTTTTAAATTGTTATTCCCCCCCCCCGATCCCTTATTTGGTTTCCTTATCTTTCTTGGATAAGTGAAACTATTAGATATTTTTCTTTTTCTTTCTGACTTATTTCACTGAGCATAACCCCTTCTAATTGCATCCATGTTGCCACAAATGACATTAGATTATTCTTTTTTTCCTTTTATGTGCTGAATAGTACTCCATTGTGTATATGTACCACACTTTCTTGATCCAGCTATATATTTTGGGACATTTGGGTAGTTTATTCTATATCTTAGCTATTGGAAATAGTGCTACAGTAAACATAGGGGTGCATATATCCTTTTTAATTAATGTTTTTGTGTCTTTTGGGTAGATCTGGAGGAGTGGAATTGCCTGGTCAAATGGTAGCTCCATTTTTAGTAGTCTGAGGAATCTCCACAAGCTCTCCATAGTGGCTGGGCTAGTTAGCACTTCCACCAGCAGTGTAGGAGAGTTCCTTTTATGCACATTGGCATTTTCTAAGTACTGTTTGCTCAACAGCCAAAACTATTTTGTAGAGCTGTACTTTCAATGGTTCATTTCATAGGGGAAAATTACTTTCTGTAAAAGTGAAGAGGAGATGAACATTTATTTCATATCTACTGTGTACCAGAAATGAAAATAAGTACTTTTGTATACATTTAATCTTTGCCATAATCTATCTTGCAGGCACCATGATACAAATTTTATTAATGAGAAGACTAAAGCATAGATAAATGAAGTGAGTTGTTTCAGGCCAGAAGGCTGATCATTGATTTGAGATATTAACTCAGGATTGCCTAAAAAGAATTCCACCATCAAAATGCTATCACAACTATAAAAATGATAGATGATTTGTAATTACACCTCTTTCCTAAATCAGTTAAAGTCCAATAAAGATGCATGCACTAATGTTACATTAAAAACTTAGAGATGTTAGTCTTTAGATATGAATAGTTTTTTGCCTTAATTCCTTTTAAGGATAAAACTAACATTTATTTTAATTTTATTCTAATTATAGTAATACCATGCACTCCTTATAATTATGCAAACAAAATTTAGCTGACATTTATTAGTTGGAGCCTACATTGACAATTAAAGAAAATGATAAATTACAGTCACAATGAATATCAAGGTGCAAGGATTCTAAGCTTGCAGAATATATAAAAATCATTTCTGATGTCAAACTTGGCCCTTTAGAGTTGGATGAATTAATTCAGTAAATAGCAGGGTTACAAATTCCAATTTCTCTTCTTTTGTTGCAGTTGTGAATGATCAATTAAAGGACACTGCACTCTAGGTATCATACTGATTTGGGCAAAAGGTAAGATAAAGCAAAGCAAGTAATGTTCCCAAATATGTTCCTTGTAAATGTCCCTAGAGAGTGAGAAATCACCCTCTTAGCAATTGTTTCCTTATTAATTTCTCCCCCCAAGATGACAAGTTTGCATACTGGTTCTAAAAACAAAGGAAATGAGAGGAAAATTTGATAAACATTTTCATTTAGTAATATTAGTGACTGAATGATGAGGGATAGAAGAAAAGAAATATTGTGAGGGTGAAGCTTTGCAGAGCTGTGCTAAGGTAAGTTGTACCAGCCACCTTAATATCAGAAGTCTAGATTCTATACTCCCTACGCAGCCATTTGCTAATCTTCCATCACCATATAAATGAGCTCACCTTCCTTGAATTCAATTTTCTGTTCTCTAAAATGGGGGTGACATCTTTTGAATTGATTATTACCATCCCTGAAGCAATTATTGATGTACTAATTCTCTGCCTAGGGTAATTAGCAGCTGGATTGTGATCATGGTGACAGAATTAATGAAGCCATTGGCGGTGCTGGTGGTGGTGTTAGTTAGAACAGGTTGAGTGGAAAC